TTCGACTTCTATTTAGATACCTAAGGATAATAAGTATTTTATTGAAATTTCTCGCTTTACGTTTAACCTTACTAACGGCTTTTGTTATGAATCTTAGGTTGGTCATAACTTCTTCGTTATAATTCGGTTTTCAGTGTTCAACCCTTGACACGATATCTATTATTTATGAAATCCAGTAGATGAATTTTTAACATTTTATTTTTGATAAAAATTCCATTGTATCAAAAGAGGTTACAATTCTTGACTTTTCAGGTCATTACATTGATTCGAAATATTAGGTTGTCACACAAGTCGTTCATGTCCAAAATAGAACTTAAAATCGTCAACACTGCTCTTGATCATTCTGATTGGGTGCAAGCGATGCAAGTTGAACTCAATGTGTTCGAACGAAACAATGTTTGGAGATTAATTCCAACTTCTTCTTAAGCATTAGTTGTTGGTTTCAAATGGGTATTTCGTAATAGGTTGGATAAAGAAGTGAATGTAATAAGGAACAAGGAGAGACTAGTTTTTAAGGATTACTGCCAGGAAGATGGTATCGATTACGAAGAAACCTTCGCACCTGTTGCAAGGTTGGAATGTGTTCATATATTCTTAGCACATGCTGCTCAAAAGAACTTTGAAGTGTTTCAGATGGATGTTAAATGCACGTTCTTAAATAGCGAATTAGAAGAAATAGTGTATGTTAAACAACCACCTGGGTTTGTTAATGAGAAGTATCCCAATCATTGCCACATTCTGGATAAGGCAGTTTATGGACTAAAGAAAGCTTCGAGAGCGTGGTATGAAACTCTTACTCGTTTCCTTAAAATGTCTAAGTTTAAACAAGGTTCGGTTGAACCAACCTTTTTTTGTAAGAAAGAGGGTGACCACTTGATGATTGTCCAAATTTATGTTGATGACATCATCTTCGGATCTACTAATCCTAACCTCACAGCTGAATTCCGAAAGCTGATGGAAACTAAGTTTGAGATTAGCTCAATGGGTCCTATTAACTTTTTCCATGGATTGAATATAAGACAAGGACCAGAAGGTATTTTCATTAATTAGGAAGCATATATGAAAACGTTTCTCTCTATGTTTGGCATGGTGGGTGACTCTAAAGTGAAGGCTCCAATGGCATTCGGAACGAAACTTACACCATCGCCAGAATAACCAGCTGCGGATATGACCCTTTATCATCAGATGATCGGTTCTTTAATGTATCTAACAGCTAGTAGACCGTATATTATATTTTCTGTTTATTATTGTGCAAGGTTCCAACCAAACCCTCGCGAACCTCACATAGTAGCAATGAAGAATATTTTCAGATACCTAAAACGAACTTCTTCTTTAGGCATATGCTATCCTTCGAACTCATGCTTCTTTGTTCAAGCCTTTTCAGATGCTAATCTTAGTGGATGTGGCTTAGATAGAAAGAGGACGGCTAGTGGATGTCAATTTCTAGATGTTAAATTGGTTAGTTGGCAATCCAAGAAACAAACATGTGTATCACTATTAATTGCTGAGGCAGAATACATAGCTGCGACTTCAAGCACATCACAGGTCATTTGGATTTAAAGCTAGCTTCGTGATTATGGCTTGAGTATGAAACAAATCCCTCTTTATTATGCTCTGAAAGTGCAATTCACATTTTTCACAACCCAGTGCAGCACTCCAAGATGAAACATATAGCACTGAGGTATAGTTCATCAAGGATCACGTGGAAGATGGCAATGTCGAGATACATTTCGTAAGATCCGCTGATCAGTTAGCTGACATATTCACAAAGGCCCTTCCTGAGACAGCCTTTAATAGAATCCTTCAATGGCTAGGGATGATGGAAGCTGAATCACTACCAAAACCACTTTCGCACTAATAAATAAGTAACTACAAATTCGTGCGAACGATCACAGTATTTCGCAGACAACTATTCATCCACAACTTTCTTTATCGATGCGAATTGGTGCGAACGCTCGTAGTAGTTCGTAGTTCACTGTTCATTCGTGGTTTGGTTTCTAATATCCTTTCGTACTTTATGTATACTTTATCTTATCTATAATTCATTCTTACATACCTTTTCTGTTTTTATATCATTTTCAGAATAGAGTAAAATTCGAAAATAATCTAGTTTGTTTTTGTTTTATTTCTTTTCAGAAAATCAAAATTATAAAAATAAGTTTATTTATGCTTTATTTCTTATTTCTTTTATTTCTCTCATATAATAAAATATCAAAAACATTAGACACACAAAACCCATGGAGTATGTTCGTGATTTCTAACAATATGGTTGATGGAGCAGGCATAAAATTCATTATCTTTGTATTAGCTAAGTGTCCCTAGAAGCATGCTGATGCATGTTGTCCGAAGCCTCACACGACTCTATGTGAAGCCTAAATGAATCGAATCTACCATTCATTTCTTCCCAAATAAGCTGCTAAATTCACATTAGTCATAAGCTACCTTACTCTTCTCACATCGAGTTAAGAGTTATCTATTTGGTCATTTATGTTTAGCAGAGGTACTTTCGCTTCTTTAAACAACCCTCTCTCTTTTCCATTCGCCTTCACATTCATAAATGTAACCCTTGAGACTCACAGCTATACCACTGATGTTTATGGTTACGAAACATATGTGTACATGATCTTCGCTTCGTACACCACGAACTAAGTTAAACCCACCATCCAACACACTTAGAAGTGTTAACGATATCTACTTTCATGGTTTGTACCTCAAAATCTCATTTCTTATGTGTGATCCTTATGATGTGTTTTATTAACAAGTCACTTCTTCCCAAAGGATCCAGTTTTTTTTTTTTTTTTTTTTTTTTGAGATTTCAAAGGTTTATCTTGTCACCAAAATAATTCCGAACCTACTCGTTCAACTGAAAACACTGGTCACACGAGCACTTCATCCGACATTCGTTCTTATATCATGTTTGTTGTCTGGTTGGAGAGTTAGCAACCCAATGAGCCGAAATAAAAGAAGCTTTTTAGTGTTTCTTATAAAACATCTGATCGTATTTCCATGGGAAACCACACAGACACTTTATAGTCTCTCTTGACTTCGAAGGAAGAAATCTTTGCCCAGCATTAACTAATTTATGTCTTCGTATAGACATCACAAATTTCCCAGATATTATTGATTTATTTCTTTATCTTTGGCACCCTTTCACGAAGATCCTAGTGATCTTCCAAAAGTCTTGTTCCTGGTTATTTATAATTTCTTTCAGTTTCGCAGTTTAACCTAAGCTTTCTAAATGCGAAAGTTTGTAATAGTTGGACAAAGAATATTTAACTATGAAAGATAGATGTTGACGAGGCAAGTTTTGATGATAAGAATTCAAACGGGCACGTGCATAATTTGAAATGGCCAGTTGTTTTTCTGCCTCATGACACACGGGTCTGACATCTATACTTGTTAAGTCGTGCTTTTTCAGGCGACGGTTCAATACCCGATGCATTCTCTCTCTGGATTTCCCTCACAAATCGAATACTATATAAAGCTTTTGATGGTTCCTCTCTCATTATCACTTTCAAAATCTTCTCAAAAGATATCCACCAAATAAAAACTATCTCTACTATTGAGCGTATTCCTCAAAACTTCAACAATGGCTACTTCATCATCTGTTCACGATCAAGCTATCCAATTTACTCTTCTGGCTGTCAAACCGAATCAAAATGTCATTACAAATCATGGGCCTTGCAAATATGAGCCATACCTTTTCTCAATGATCGAGTGTCTCAAATACTCGCCACTGGTCCATGCTCTAATAAAAATGGAGGATGTTCCAATGTCCCTTCTGTCCAAGGCGTATTCTTCTGCAAGCTATATCAAGGTGGAGAACAAAATTATCTTCGATATCCATGATCAGAAAGCATATATCACAAAAACCAGATTCTACTCTCTCCTAGGGCTTCCTTAATCAGCGGATACGATCAACCGCGAAACAATCTCCAATGTTGCTCTCTTGGAGATGTTTTATCAAATGGGATACAAGGAGACTCTGTCCACAGTCTCAAAATTTTGGAAGCCAAATCTACCTCCTCAATGGAATGCTCTATTCACTAATCTGTTAAAAGGGTTTTCAGAAAGAATCACAGGGTCAGACAGTGCAAGTAAGTTATTCATGACTCTTATTTATGGCCTCTACATAGGGATAAATATCGACTTTGGGGTCATTCTCTAGGCTTAGGTGATTCAAAGCACTATCTCAACAACTCGTCACACTGCGATTTGTTGTGCAAGGTTCTGGTCCCTGATTGTTCGCAAGGTTATTGTTAAGCACAACATCCCAACAATGAAGGATGCTCTCGCTTTCTCGGTTTCCACTTTTCATACAACAGGGATAATTGTTGCCGATGCCTCAAAATTCTCCTTCATTGGTTCTATTCCAGAGGTCATGTTTCGGGATGTTCCTGCATCAAGCAAGATTTTTGAAGGGTTTCGCAAGCTCACGCCTTCGAGGTTTCATCCACTAAGTCCAGAAATCAAGCAGCTATTGATATTGCTGATAAAGCAAAGAAAGGAGGAAAGGGATCTAAGAAAGGTGAAAAGAAGATTGATGCGAAAGAAGTTCCATTAGGTGCTACAAAACCTTCACCTAAAAAGCGAAAGGCACTAGCAGCATCTTCTGCTTCTACTCCAAAAAGAAGAAGACAGCCCGCTCGCAAACGAAAAACACCTACACCATCAGCAAGTGAAGGGTCATATTCTGAGACTAAGTTGGGTGTTCGAATTGAAGAAAATCAACCAGTTTGTAATGAGGAGGAAGAGGCTGTTCCTAATGAGGACCCAACTACAAACCAAGAGCCTCCAATTTGCAATGAAGAGGAAACTCCAAACCCAAAGGTAAACAAAACTGTTAATGACTCTGTTCCGTGTCCTCCTCCTTTACCAAAAACAACCTCAACCCCTATCACAATTGTTCCCTATCCCCCCCTGTTACCCCATCTCAACCTACAACTATTGATTTCTCCACACCAATCTTAACTGATTCAACCACAACACCCATCACTTCAATGAACCCTGAATTCACGGTCAACATATCTGATACGGGTGCTACAACTTCATTCTTCTCTACCTATGTTCCTTCATCCATCTCTCCCATTCGTAATGATGATCCAAATATGATCTTTGGGGATGATGGTGATGATGATGATCTTGGCGGATTCACTTATAGTCCATTTATGATCAGGACTGAAAGTGAAGATGAAGCCACAGTTTCTAAAGGGCAGCTTAAAGCAATTCACGAGAAACTTGACCAACTGCTTCTTGCCTCCAAGGCTTACTCCTTTGACGCCTATTCAAAAGAAATAGTTGAGTCATTGTTTGAGAATATAACGAAAGAACATGTTGCGAATGCTGCAAATATGAACGCATCAGTTTTGGAGTCTACTGATGTTTGCAAGTCTACGACCGAAAATGTCAATAAACTAATTACTGACACAACCACTGTCATGTAGAATTACAGAAAAACTTACAACAATCACACTCCATCCACGAATGAATCCCTTCAGAACTTGGGTGCAATGTTCAAAACTGAGAAGGTCAACTTGGAGAAGATTTGTGCAGGCTTGCAGCAAGACCATCTATCGTTTCAAACATCCCTCACTTCGCAAATTACAAAGCTTCAGGATGATTTGGCAATGGAAAGTAATGTCATGGACGCCCTGGCCAAAAATACAGAGCAGGTCAAAGTGTTAGATCAAAAGCTTCAACAGTCTGAGAAAAAGGTCAAGGATTTGCTATCTGAGATGCCAGCTAATCGAAGTTGCATTACGGATGTCACTGGTTTGCTCTCTGATATCATTGAGACCAGGGACTCAATGATTTCTATTACTATTCGCAAACACCTAGATCAAAAGTTGAGCCATGTCTTCGCAATGTTGTATCGTGTACAGGGTGTTTCTCCTCAATCGTCTGATACGAAACAAGGGGAGAAGGTGGATCCAATGCCAAACCTCCCAAAGTCCCTGTTAAGCTTATTATCAAGAAAGCATTTGAAAACGTAGTTATAGGGGTATGAACTCACCTGATAGATTGAAGAGGGTAGGACGAAAATCGAGCAAAACTTCGACTTGAGAAACTTGATTTCTCGGGATTCTCGGGAATCTGGGGAGTGTAAAACCTTCCTTCGGAACTTCGATGGGAAGACCAAGGCTTTAGGATGGCGTCGGGGCTTTACGCTAGCACCCAAGTACGTTGGGCGTACTCGTCTCGGTTTGTGCACCTCAAACTTGTAAAATACGTAACTTTCACATACAAACTTCGTTTTTGACGTTCTTTATATGCACGCGTAGGTGAGAATGTACTCTACAACTTTCATTTGGACTCCGTCGGCTAATTTGAAATTTATTTTTACTATATTATTTTTAACAGGCTAGGACACGAAAAGTCCGTTAAAAATCCATAATTTCTTCACCCGACGTCCGTTTTCGTCTGTCTTTTTTGTATTGTACTACCCTTGTTGAGATCTTCGATTCACATTTAGGTTATTTCGGCTAGAAATCGCTCGATCTCTATTTCGAGTTTTTAGTTGTCTACCGCTATACCGAAACTTCGAAAAATCATAACTTCCTTATACGAAGACAGATTTGGGCGTTCTTTTTATATATGTTCACGGTTTAATAATATCTTCAACTTCTATTTAGATACCTAAGGAAAATAATTAATTTATTGAAATTTCTCTCTTTACGTTTAACCTTATTAACGGCTTTTGTTATGAATATTAGGTTGGTCATAACTTCTTCGTTATAACTCGGTTTTTAGTGTTCAACCCTTGACACAATATCTATTATTTATGAAATCCAGTAGATGAATTTTTAACATTTTATTTTTGATAAAAATTCCATTATATCAAAAGAGGTTACAATTCTTGACTTTTCAGGTCATTACATTGATTCGAAATATTAGGTTGTCACACAAGTCGTTCATGTCCAAAATAGAACTTAAAACCGTCAACACTGCTCTTGATCATTCTGATTGGGTGCAAGCAATGCAAGTTGAACTCAATGAGTTCGAACGCAACAAAGTTTGGAGATTAATTCCAACTCCTTCTGAAGCATTAGTTGATGATTTCAAATGGATATTTCGTAATAGGTTGGATAAAGAAGTGAATGTAATAAGGAACAAGGAGAGACTAGTTTTTAAGGATTACTGCCAGGAACATGGTATCGATTACGAAGAAACCTTCGCACCTGTTGCAAGGTTGGAATGTGTTCAGATATTTTTAGCATATGATGCTCAAAAGAACTTTGAAGTGTTTCAGATGGATGTTAAATGCACGTTCTTAAATAGCGAATTAGAAGAAATAGTGTATGTTAAACAACCACCTGGGTTCATTAATGATAAGTATCCCAATCATTGCCACATTCTGGATAAGGCAGTTTATGGACTAAAGAAAGCTTCGTGAGCGTGCTATGAAACTCTTACTCGTTTCCTTAAAATGTCTAAGTTTAAACAAGGTTCGGTTGACCCAACATTTTTTTGTAAGAAAGAGGGTGACCACTTGATGATTGTCCAAATTTATGTTGATGACATCATCTTCGGATCTACTAATCCCAACCTCACAGCTGAATTCCGAAAGCTGATGGAAACTAAGTTTGAGATTAGCTCAATGGGTCCTATTAACTTTTTCCTTGGATTGAATATAAGACAGGGACCAGAAGGTATTTTCATTAATTAGGAGGAATATATGAAAACTTTTCTCTCTAAGTTTGGCATGGTGGGTGACTCTAAAGTGAAGGCTCCAATGGCATTCAGAACGAAACTTACACCATCGCCAGAATAACCAGTTGCGGATATGACCCTTTATCGTCAGATGATCGGTTCTTTAATGTATCTAACAGCTAGTAGACCGTATATTATATTTTCTATTTACTATTGTGAAAGGTTCCAACCAAACCCTCGCGAACCTCACATAGTAGCAATGAAGAATATTTTCAGATACCTAAAACGAACTTCTTCTTTAGGCATATGCTATCCTTCGAACTCATGCTTCTTCGTTCAAGCCTTTTCAGATGCTAATCTTAGTGGATGTGGCTTAGATAGAAAGAGCACGACTGGTGGATGTCAATTTCTAGATGTTAAATTGGTTAGCTGGCAATCCAAGAAACAAACATGTGTATCACTATTAATTGCTGAGGCAGAATACATAGCTGCAACTTCAAGCACATCATAGTTCATTTAGATTTAAAGCTAGCTTCGTGATTATGGCTTGAGTATGAAACAAATCCCTCTTTATTATGCTCTGAAAGTGCAATTCACATTTTTCACAACCCAGTGCAGCACTCCAAGATGAAACATATAGCACTGAGGTATAGTTCATCAAGGATCACGTGGAAGATGGCAATGTCGAGATACATTTCGTAAGATCCGCTGATCAGTTAGCTGACATATTCACAAAGGCCCTTCCTGAGACAGCCTTTAATAGAATCCTTCAATGGCTAGGGATGATGGAAGCTGAATCACTACCAAAACCACTTTCGCACTAATAAATAAGTAACTACAAATTCGTGCGAACGATCACAGTATTTCGCAGACAACTATTCATCCACAACTTTCTTTATCGATGCGAATTGGTGCGAACGCTCGTAGTAGTTCGTAGTTCACTGTTCATTCGTGGTTTGGTTTCTAATATCCTTTCGTACTTTATGTATACTTTATCTTATCTATAATTCATTCTTACATACCTTTTCTGTTTTTATATCATTTTCAGAATAGAGTAAAATTCGAAAATAATCTAGTTTGTTTTTGTTTTATTTCTTTTCAGAAAATCAAAATTATAAAAATAAGTTTATTTATGCTTTATTTCTTATTTCTTTTATTTCTCTCATATAATAAAATATCAAAAACATTAGACACACAAAACCCATGGAGTATGTTCGTGATTTCTAACAATATGGTTGATGGAGCAGGCATAAAATTCATTATCTTTGTATTAGCTAAGTGTCCCTAGAAGCATGCTGATGCATGTTGTCCGAAGCCTCACACGACTCTATGTGAAGCCTAAATGAATCGAATCTACCATTCATTTCTTCCCAAATAAGCTGCTAAATTCACATTAGTCATAAGCTACCTTACTCTTCTCACATCGAGTTAAGAGTTATCTATTTGGTCATTTATGTTTAGCAGAGGTACTTTCGCTTCTTTAAACAACCCTCTCTCTTTTCCATTCGCCTTCACATTCATAAATGTAACCCTTGAGACTCACAGCTATACCACTGATGTTTATGGTTACGAAACATATGTGTACATGATCTTCGCTTCGTACACCACGAACTAAGTTAAACCCACCATCCAACACACTTAGAAGTGTTAACGATATCTACTTTCATGGTTTGTACCTCAAAATCTCATTTCTTATGTGTGATCCTTATGATGTGTTTTATTAACAAGTCACTTCTTCCCAAAGGATCCAGTTTTTTTTTTTTTTTTTTTTTTTTTTGAGATTTCAAAGGTTTATCTTGTCACCAAAATAATTCCGAACCTACTCGTTGAACTGAAAACACTGGTCACACGAGCACTTCATCCGACATTCGTTCTTATATCATGTTTGTTGTCTGGTTGGAGAGTTAGCAACCCAATGAGCCGAAATAAAAGAAGCTTTTTAGTGTTTCTTATAAAACATCTGATCGTATTTCCATGGGAAACCACACAGACACTTTATAGTCTCTCTTGACTTTGAAGGAAGAAATCTTTGCCCAGCATTAACTAATTTATGTCTTCGTATAGACATCACAAATTTCCCAGATATTATTGATTTATTTCTTTATCTTTGGCACCCTTTCACGAAGATCCTAGTGATCTTCCAAAAGTCTTGTTCCTGGTTATTTATAATTTCTTTCAGTTTCGCAGTTTAACCTAAGCTTTCTAAATGCGAAAGTTTGTAATAGTTGGACAAAGAATATTTAACTATGAAAGATAGATGTTGACGAGGCAAGTTCTGATGATAAGAATTCAAACGGGCACGTGCATAATTTGAAATGGCCAGTTGTTTTTCTGCCTCATGACACACGGGTCTGACATCTATAGTTGTTAAGTCGTGCTTTTTCAGGCGACGGTTCAATACCCGATGCATTCTCTCTCTGGATTTCCCTCACAAATCGAATACTATATAAAGCTTTTGATGGTTCCTCTCTCATTATCACTTTCAAAATCTTCTCAAAAGATATCCACCAAATAAAAACTATCTCTACTATTGATCGTATTCCTCAAAACTTCAACAATGGCTACTTCATCATCTGTTCACAATCAAGCTATCCAATTTACTCTTCTGGCTGTCAAACCGAATCAAAATGTCATTACAGATCATGGGCCTTGCAAATATGAGCCATACCTTTTCTCAATAATCGAATGTCTCAAATACTCGCCACTGGTCCATGCTCTAATAAAAATGGAGGATGTTCCAATGTCCCTTCTGTCCAAGGCGTATTATTCTGCAAGCTATATCAAGGAGGAGAACAAAATTATCTTCGATATCCATGATCAGAAAGCATATATCACAAAAACCAGATTCTACTCTCTCCTAGGGCTTCCTCAATCAGTGGATACGATCAACCGTGAAACAATCTCCAATGCTGCTCTCTTGGAGATGTTTTATCAAATGGGATACAAGGAGACTTTGTCCACAGTCTCAAAATTTTGGAAGCCAAATCTACCTCCTCAATGGAATGCTCTATTCACTATTATGTTAAAGGGGTTTTCAGAAAGAATCACAGGGTCAGACAGTGCAACTAAATTATTCATGACTCATATTTATGGCCTCTACATAGGGATGAATATCGACTTTGGAGTCATTCTCTGGGCTTAGGTAATTCAAAGCACTATCTCAACAGCTCGTCACACTGCAATTTGTTGTGCAAGGTTCTGGTCCCTGATTGTTCGCAGGGTTATTGTTAAGCACAACATCCCAACAATGAAGGATGCTCTCGCTTTCTCGGTTTCCACTTTTCATACAACAGGGATAATTGTTGCCGATGCCTCAAAATTCTCCTTCATTGGTTCTATTCCAGAGGTCATGTTTTGGGATGTTCCTGCATCAAGCAAGATTTTTGAAGGGTTTCGCAAGCTCACGCCTTCGAGGTTTCGTCCACTAAGTCCAGAAATCAAGCAGCTATTGATATTGCTGATAAACCAAAGAAAGGAGGAAAAGGATCTAAGAAAGGTGAAAAGAAGATTGATGCGATAGAAGGTCCATCAGGTGCTACAAAACCTTCACCTAAAAAGCGAAAGGCACTAGCAGCATCTTCTGCTTCAACTCCAAAAAGAAGAAGACAGCCCGCTCGCAAACGAAAAACACCTACACCATCATCAAGTGAAGGGTCATATTCTGAGACTAAGTTGGGTGTTCGAATTGAAGAAAATCAACCAGTTCGTAATGAGGAGGAAGAGGCTGTTCGTAATAAGGATCCAACTACAAACCAACAGCCTCCAATTCGCAATGAAGAGGAAACTCCGAACCCAAAGGTAAACAAAACTGTTAATGACTCTGTTCCGTGTCCTCCTCCTTTACCAAAAACAACCTCAACCCCTATCACAACTGTTCCCTATCCCCCTCCTGTTACCCCATCTCAACCTACAACTATTGATTTCTCCACACCAATCTTAACTGATTCAACCACAACACCCATCACTTCAATGAACCCTGAATTCACGGTCAATATATCTGATACGGGTGCTACAACTTCATTCTTCTCTACCTATGTTTCTTCATCCATCTCTCCCATTCGCAATGATGATCCAAATATGATCTTTGGGGATGATGGTGATGATGATGATCTTGGCGGATTCACTTATAGTCCATTTATGATCAGGACTGAAAGTGAAGATGCAGACACAGTTTCTAAAGGGCAGCTTAAAGCAATTCACGAGAAACTTGACCAACTGCTTCTTGCCTCCAAGGCTTACTCCTTTGACGCCTATTCAAAAGTAATAGTTGAGTCATTGTTTGAGCACATAACGAAAGAACATGTTGCGAATGCTGCAAAGATGAACGCAACAGTTTTGGAGTCTGCTGATGTTTGCAAGTCTGCGACCGAAAATGTCAATAAACTAATTGCTGACACAACCACCATCATGGAGAATTACAGAAAAACTTACAACAATCACACTCCATCCGCGAATGAATCCCTTCAGAACTTGGGTGCAATGTTCAAAACTGAGAAGGTCAACTTGGAGAAGATTTGTGCAGGCTTGCAGCAAGACCATCTATCGTTTCAAACATCCCTCACTTCGCAAATTACAAAGCTTCAGGATGATTTGGCAATGGAAAGTAATGTCATGGACGCCCTGGCCAAAAATACAGAGTAGGTCAAAGTGTTAGATCAAAAGCTTCAACAGTCTGAGAAAAAGGTCAAGGATTTGCTATCTGAGAGGCCAGCTATGCGAAGCTGCATTACGGATGTCACTGGTTTTCTCTCTGATATCATTGAGACCAGGGACTCAATGATTTCTATTACTATTCGCAAACACCTAGATGAAAAGTTGAGCCATGTCTTCGCAATAAGGGTGTTTCTCCTCAATCGTCTGATACGAAACAAGGGGAGAAGGTGGATCCAATGCCAAACCTCCCAAAGTCCCTGTCAAGCTTATTATCAAGAAAGATCCTAAGGGCAAGGAAAAGTTGATCGAAGAAGAGCCCATAAACGATGATGATAAAGAGGAAGAGGCTGATGAAGCTGAACTTAAAAGGCGGAAGGATCGTGATGCTGAATTGAACGAAACTCAACAAATCGTCAAGGAAGTTGAGGAAAAAGAAAGGGAAAATAAGGAAGCTTGGGCCACTCTCAAAAGCAAAATGCTATTATTTCCAAAGTGGACCTTGAAGAGAATCCAGCATGATGCTATAGAGCTGCCTAGTCAATATTGGTTGGATCCTGTTGCTTCCTTTGATCGTCAAAATTCTCAAAATTCACAACTCGATCTTCCAATTACTCCAAAAGAATTCAGGTTTTGTGCTTTTTTAAAGGTTGTGCATGCTCCTTTCTCAGATAGTAGAGTTGATCAACTGATGTTCTCATTCTACTTGAAACACATGAAGCCCCAGTACAAAACTTAGAGCACACACAAGATAGTTGTTGTGAAGGTCATTGGGCCAATTGAGATTGAAAGCTTCCCTAATGCAAAGCTTAAAGTAGCGATATGATCAGCTTATCAAGCCAACAAATTCACCCTCGCTAACTTTCCTTGTTTGAATCCTAAGAACGGGATTGTACTTTACAACATGTTGCTGACAGGAAAAGAGAAGTTCGAGCCTATTATGTCCCATCTCCAACTAATGATCAAGTCTTATATTCAAGAGGTTGGATTGATGGATGTGGATATTGCCACTGTTTTGAAGAAGAAGCTGATTTTCATTCCTAAGGAAGCTCTGAAAGACTTCGAGAAATTAAAGTCAGGGAAGATATACAAGGAAGGGTGGTTCCTAGTGTACCAGATCAGAGAATAAATGGAAGCTGACTTTCGCAAGTCTTACTTTTATCTCGAAGAAAAACATCTCTACAACATTGCCTGTATGGAATTTATATTGGATCTGATTACTATGTTCAAGGGCAACCACTAGGACGACGTCAAATGCTTTTCTGATATGATACTTTGGTATATCCAGGTTCGCAAGAAGTTGTTGAGCTTTATTCCAAAAATCTTCAAAGTGTAGAAGCAAATTACTAGATGATGGGTTACAAACTCAATTGACGTAAATGGGGAGATTATTGAAGATTTAATTGTTACGTCATTGGGCTTTGATATTAGTCCTTTTTGTAAACGGGTTGGACCTTTCCTCCCGTATTTAATTCTAGGGTTGGAGTATATATGGTGCATGCATGCATCTTATTTTAATTAATTCTTTTATTGATCTTGTAACCCTAGCATGCCTCTACAATTTAAATTCTTCATCGAGTCATCTGAGACGTGACTTTTAATCATTCAGCATTTGTTTAATCATATTTGTATTATTTATTTACCTTTTTGAATCTTGTCGATCATAAAGGATTTGAATCCTATCAGTTACACTACTTTGAAGATCTAGAAAATCATGTGCCTGAAGTATGCGGCGTGTGGTGATGATGTGGCACCACGGGAGAGCGGCACATAGGCATTTTGCGACAACCCCCTTTTCACACATAGTGGCACCTTCTTGAAAATGCATACACAGATAAACGTGACGACGACATGTGCAAGAATCCAAAGGATCCAGTAGGTCCATAGGATGCAACACACTTCCATACGTACGTGGCCTGCTTGGCTTTTCTTGGCTATAAATAGTGAGCTTCATATAAGCATTCACCCACATACACTATACACTTTCCTTCTTGAGGAATCTTCAGTTTTAGGCCTTTCCCTTAATTTCCGTTTTCCGAAGAAGCCCTGCAACACATGAGGTATTTAACCAAGTAATAGCCATCAAGTAAGAGCCCTACAAGAGCAATTTCCAGACTCTACCCAGGAGGAACCTTTATAACGTAAGCTAAAATCGAGTTATTTCAATGTAACTTATTTTTTATAGTCATCAACTGTGATTATGAACCTATAAATAAGAACTATCAATAAATCCAACTTATAATACTTATTATTCTACTTACAGGATAGGGACTACAATGGTCATGATGGCTTGCTTATTGGATTTCAGAAATGCTATACGCCAAAATGGTCCTACCTCCCAACTTTCTTGTCTGGTTGAGCCTTATTTGATAGAAATATTGATATTTATTGGAGTGGTTGATAGGTTCAGGCTATCATTAAAAATGTTAGACTACAATTAGTAGTAATGATACTAGGTCATGTCAAAGGAAAGATCAAGTTCTAGAAGCGAAGCGCTTCCCGAGTTTCGAAACATCATTTTAACAAATGAATGCATAATATCTTTGAGTTGCACATAGATATGAAGTATCTAAATGATTATATGCTAAATGTTCCTATTATCTCTACTTCCTAATATTTGTGCTAGATGAAAGACAATAACATGATTTTATTTGATTTAAACGTACACACACATACATAAATAAATACATACATACATACATACACACACACACACATACATATATATATATATATATATATATATATATATATATATATATATATATATAAGTTAGGTAGAAAAGGAATGATAATGATGAAATATATGAGATGAGATGATGATGATAAGATGAGAGGCCTTGACTTTATATATGATCTAGTCATCTAGCGAAGTATAGATAATGACCACAGACTATTCTAGACAGTCTAGTGGAATGCTAGGAAGCTCGCAACTTGTAGGTGTTTTTTTTAATATGTGTTCAGTAAAGATATACTCTATCCCTCATGGTTGACTTATTGACATGCATTTTGCTAAGGAAACCCTTAAGTAGTGTTTTCTACCTCTTTGCTTACAATGATCCTTAGGGTAGGTCTGTTGAGACTAGTGTTTAGGGCCATAGTGTGAGGATAATCGGAATGTGTAATCAGTTTGAATTTTTTTGATGAGAAGAATATAATTAAATAATTTAATTATTGAGGATTTAGACATTATGTGCTCAACAAACTTCCCTAATGGCCCAATTTTAACCCACTCAAGTTTCTTGTATTGCAGGTAGTGGTACGAAAGCACATGTGTGTTGAGATGATTTTGATGAGAGGATAATTGAATGTAGGTCAATAGGTTAATGTACTATTATAAGGCATGTAATCCTTTGTTTATGTTTATTTGTTGTTTTGACTATAACATCCGAATGTTTCTAATATAAATAAAGTATATTTTTCGAAAATGCATTGATATTATTATTATCCTATTTTTGGGAACAAATTCTGCATTATAATAATTTAAAAAATGTATTCTGATTTTTAGCTAGCTTATTTAAATCGATCACTTCTTAACCGTGAAATCGGAAATGTTACATTTTTTGATACAATTTTGTATTAAGCATCATCATGCCCACATCCTTTACAACATGTTAACTTATAATGTCAATCTGCAACGATGTTAATACTTTGATTTCATAAACTTATAAGCTCTATATGTAAAGATGTTTAGGCTAAAGGATGTTAATACTTTTTCATACTCTCCAGCCACTTTAATTTCAAGAGACCTCTTTGTATCAGTCATGATTTGTAACGATCTTATATTGTCTCTATTTTAATTAAAATCTTTTTTGCAAGATCAAATTAAGACAAAGATGACTTTCGCTACAAAGTCGATGGGAGAACAAACTGTTTGTTTAGGGTTTTTTGGTTTTATTTTCTAGAATGCCTTTTACTCATTTTCTTTTTTTGTTTAAATATGTTTTTTTATAATATTTGGGGTACTACGTTGTACAAAATCCGATTGTTCTTTAATCATAAATCTTCATATCTTTGTTAAACTTCTCTTATTAACGATGAACCATCATAAACAGATAAAGAGAGAAGAAATGATCTCTTTGTTTTTATTTTTTTTGTTTTCTTCTCGTATCTCCATGACACCGACCATACGTGGTGTCAAATACACCAAACACAATTACTGCTATTTGAATTAAATCATTGTTCGCAAACAATTTTCCATACATGTCTTTTTATATTGCACTACGAAATGTTATGCACTATATAAAAATTATTGTGCCTGAATTTATCTAAGGCTGTTGAGCTCAAATTCAGACACTTTGTTTGAACAAGAATTACAACTTTTAAAAAACTATTTTTAAGGTCAATAATGTCATACCTTTGTATTGCTGAACATATGTAACGTCCAATATATTAAACATATTGTACGTGTTATTCATCGAACATACGCTACGCCCATTGAAACGGATATATGCTGTGTCCATGCGTCCCACACAGTTGGTGATATAAGTGTGTCCGTGTGGAGTTATGAAATGTTATGCACTATATGTCAATTGTACAAAAGTTACCCAAGATATTAATGTAAAATTGACACTTTTTGTTTTATAAACTTACTTATTAATTTCAAAATTTCTAAATTAAAGTTTATTAGCTTTTTTTATTTATTTAATTTATTTTTTTAACTTAAAAATAAAAAACATTTCAATTATAATAATTCATTATTTTCTTGTTTTCTTATAAGTTCAAAGTTTTCAAAAAGTTTGATTTTTATAATTATTTTTGAGTAAAAATTACACGAATGGTCCCTATGGTTTCGGGTAATTTGCATGTTTGTTCCCTAAATTATTTTTTTTAACTCAGAAGGACCCTAATATTTGTTTTTATTATGCGCTCGGTCCTTACTATTTGTTTTTTGTACACGTTTGGTCCATATCTTACTTAAAAAGATTATTACTTAAATGAAATAAAATTGTGAGTTAGGTAAAGTAAGGTGAGGGGGGGATTGGGAGTGTATTTTTTTTTTAATAAATTAAAAAATTAAAGGCAAAATAGTTTTTTTTAATTAATACAGGGAACAAGTGCTTAAAAAAACAAATAGTAAGGACCTTCCAAATTAAAAAAATAAGTTAGAGACCAACATATAAATTACTCTAAACCATAGGGACCATCCATGTAATTTACTCTTTTTTTTTTTTTAAATTAACCAATGTAATATATAGGTCTCACAAGTAATATATATATATATATATATATATATATATATATATATATATATATATATATATATATATATATATATATATATATATATATATATATATATATATATATATATATATATATATATATATATATATATATATATATATATATATATATGAGAGACACTTTTATTCATACATACGAATTTGAGACCTTGAACACTTCAAATTTCAACCCAATACATCTATTTTATTAAAATGTTGTTAAATATGAATTATTATATAGATTTTCGAATTATCAATGTAATATACATAAAATGGTAATTTTAATGACATCATAAATCCAAAATATAAATGAAAGTATCATTTAACTACTATGTTAAATCTAAAATATAAATCAAATATCAAATGAAATTTAAGACTCTTTTCTTTTAAACGTGTGTGTGTGTATATATATATATATATATATATATATATATATATATATATATATATATATATATATATATATATATATATATATATTACACGTAATAGTTTAATATAATAATTATAACAA